GTTGCCAACCAGTGGGCTGCGAGAAAATTTTGGTGGGCCACAGAGAAATCTCACCCCCAGATCACCCCCCACAAAGCAATTAATCCAGGCTGCGTAGAAACACAAGGCTGCTCAGCCCACATGGCCTGCGGGAACCCTCCCCACCCACTTACTCCTTACCCGGCAAACTTGTCTGCTAAGTTACTATTTTTCCTTTTTCTGACCATCTGTTCTGCTGTGCCAGGAGATTTAGATTAGCTAGGAAGCAGGAAATGGTTGGATTTCTTGCTTTCTAGCTAAGCACAGCTGAACCTCCGTTAGGATTGACGGTTTGCTTGCAAGCAAATTCAGTGCAGACTCAAGGCAAGCAAACTTGAGAGACTAAGTTAGCCGATGACAGATAGATAAATCACTGATTCTGTGAGCAACTCTGCCTGCCTGCTTTGCCTGATTTTGGGTAAAGGTTGCTCTTTTTTTATATAAAAAAAATCAATATTTAAATATTTATAATATTTACATATAAGCCATGCCGAGCCAGTCACATGACCACCAAGCCACACCCACAAATTAGGCCACACCCACAGAACCAGTTAGTGGTCCCTGGGATCTAAAATTATGAGTTTGGTGGTCCCTGAGGTCCAAAAGGTTGGTAACCTCTGACCTAAAGAATACCTATAGATATTTTAGACAAGTGTTTTACAGCATATCAGGTTCCATTTAATTTTGTTAAATTAAAATTCTAAAAATTAATACAAGGAATCTAGCAGATACGATAAAGCTATTTGTGAGTAGTAGTATATATTAACTTAATATTTGTCTTAAGTACTCGTTGGGCCATATAAAAAGCTACTGTATTGTATTTGTATTTTAATAGACACATTCTTTTTCCTACTTTTTGTAATAGGTGCAGAAAAAAGTTTAAAAAGGGACAGTTTCTTTCTGTTGTCACATTAGGATTTGCCAAAAAATTACATACTAATTCTAACTTTCTTAAAAATCAATTGTTTATTAGTAGCAAGCATGCATGTTTTTCCAAATCCTGTGAACAGTAGAAAAATTACGAAGTAGTGATTATGATGTATTTTTAAATTAATTAAATAATTAAGGTTCAGTCCAGTGGTGAGATTCAAAATTTTTTATTACCAGTTCTGTGGGCGTGGCTTGGTGGGTGTGGCAGGGGAAGGTTACTGCAAAATCCCATTTCCTCCCCACCCACTAACCTGCTTTCCAGCTCTGTTCTCCTGTGCAGGGCAACAAAAGAAGACCCAGCCGATCAGCTGGGATTCGATAGGCAGAGATGAGAGTGGGGCCAGTCAGAGGTGGTATTTGCCGCTTCTCCAAACTATTCAAAATTTCCGCTACTGGTTCTTCAGAACTAGTTAGAACCAGCTGAATACCACCTCTGGTTCAGTTTGATATGGGAGACAGGTCTAAAGAATAAAATTTCTGAGAAAAGATTGAAGATGCACCTTTAAAATGTCTTAAGGCCGATGAGCTGCACATATAACAGCATTCAAGTTATGGTCTTCAGAAAATTTCTCTCTTATACTGATTTTTCATTGTAAGGGTCAAAATAACTATATCAAGCCTCTGTGAGTGTTAATGCCTTGGTTCTTGTTCCTTGAAGTGTCATGAGATGGCAACTCTGAAAATTCCATTACTGTATTGGTTTGCTGGCCATAAATTACCTCAGAAGCCTATTTTTTGAAGAAAATCAACGGTTTTTGTTATAGGTTGCCTATTTCTTTTGTAAGTGGAATTGAAGAGGATTAAAATATTCAAAGTTAGTTTTCTGAAGAATTTATTACTACCGTAGTGCCCGTCTATCTTTAATCTAAACTTGTTTTTACTTAATATTCTAGAATACAACACAGATAGCATTTCCTTCAAAATCTTGTGAACTTTGCCAGGACAATTTCAAGGCCAGGAGTTATGTTTGTTTCTGCAATGATGTGTGCAGATTTCAATTGAAAATATTAAAACCTATGGGATTTAGCTTTTATAAATAGGCTAAATTTATTGTGCCAATATATTCTGATACTTTTATTGAAAAATGGTTTATATTCTTACTTTTTGTAAATGCATTCTAAAACTTGTTAAACTATAAACCCTTATAATCAGATTTTGATCTTCTCCAGCTTTACATCAGAATAATAAATCACTGAAAATAACATAATTGGAGACTGTTAAATTCATTGCAAATAGACATATGGTTCAATCAAAGGTAGTTGGGTTTTTTTTACATTGATAATAGGAAAGAATCTCACATCGACTGAGCTGAAAGACATTTTAAGAAATTTATATTTTTTCTGAATACCATTTAACATACCTTAACATTTTTTTTTACAACAAACTAATCACTTGGGAAGTTTCTCATGTTCCTTTTATTTTTTTGTGAGTTCATTTAAGATGAGATCTCAAATGTTGAGGAAAGTACATAATGTAGATTTCATCCTGGGGAAATTTGTTTTATGAATACTGAACTTCTAAGATTTTTTTTTCCTAATCTATGATGCAAGTTTTTTTTAAGATCAGAGTGACAGATTTGTATGAATTTCAGAATGCTTCATTCCCTTCTGATGCTAATGGGTAGTTTTGGTTTTCTGTATATTTCAAAAGCAAAGAAAGTATGGATAATCTGGCAGTTTGGGGAATTTCTCCTCCACCTGCGATTATTTTCTTAATGAGGGGCTTTGTAGTTATGGGAAGAGGTTTTGCAGGGAAAAAAGTAGAAAAGAAACTTCTTAGCTCAACTAAATTGGGGCAATTTATGATTACTATTTACCTACAATTAAAGAAATAGGGTATTGTTATATTACCTGGGAGGAGCCACCCACAGTGGGCGGAGCTAGGCTCATCAGCCTTTTTGACAGACTCAGTCCAATCAATTAGGACAAGAGCAACCCCATGCCTGACCAATCACAGCCTAACAAGGGAGAATATGCAAAACTAAAACTAACATTGCTATGTTGTATTCTTAAAAAATATCACTATAGTACTTGGTCATAATACAAAAACTATACCAGAGGAAAAAAATAACCAGTTATATCTCAAGATACGAATTTCTCTGAAGTCCTAGCATTTTAATATGGGCAAATGTTTCAGAGATTCATTTTTCAAAACTTGGTTATATGTTGTAAATATATATTTACAGGTTGGATATGGTTCTGATTTCTGTACATGAGTGAACTTATAATTTCCGAAGCAATTGCTTGATAAATTATCTCAATCTTTATGCTTGTGTAAAAATCATTGGGAATTGCAAGAGATTTCTTATTTGCCTTACCAACTGAGAACATCTGTTGAAAAGTTTTATGATCTATATGTGCAACGTTGAACATCTTACACCTGGGGTCTGTATCTTAATTTTATATTTGTCCAAAGTTATGCTTTTTTTTTAAGATGAAGAGTTAAATGTTAGCTCCCTATTATTAGAGAAATCCTAACATTTGTTCTATAATTGTTTAGCACACGATTAGCGTTAAATACCATTAAGCCTCTTCACTGTAAAATAAAATTTGTACAATATTAGAAACAAGTGATTTTGGAAAAGTTATACATTTTTACATTTCACATCTTAGCACAAATAATTTGTGTGCATTTGTGTATACATCCAAACACACAATGACCCAATCTGGTTTGGTGATTAAGGAACTAGTTTAGAAGTTGTGGGACCATTTTAGTTGTGAAGCCAATAGGGGCACCTGCCTATCACTCTCTACCAGCCTAGGAAGAAGGCAATGGCAAACCACTTCCAAAAAATTTGCCAAGAAAAAACTGCAGAGACTAGTCAAGAGAGTGAACACTGTCTTGAAGCTGCAAATAAATACACATTTATATATGCACATATTATTTAGTCAGCTTAGTATCCAAGTGTGTTCCAGTGCTACATTAATAATTCTATGCAGCCTGCTTAACATAAGCACATAATACAGGTAGTCCTTGACTTACAACCCCAACTGAGCCAAAAATTTCCATGCTAAATGAGACCATTAAGTAAGTTGTACCCCATTTTACAACTTGTTAAGATTTTAAGTGAAACACTGCAGTGAAGTTAGTAATAGTTATTAAGTGAATCTGACTTCTCAACTGACTTTGCTTGTCAGAAGGCTGCAAAAGATGATCACATGACCCCATGATACGCAACTGTTATAAATATGAGCCAGTTGCCAAGTATCTAAATTTTGACCATGTGACCAGAGATATGCCAAAACAGTTATAAATGTGAAAAATAAGTCACTTTTGTCTGTGCTGTTGTAACTTTGAATGGTCACTAAACAAATGATTATAAGTTGTAGACTATCTGTAAACAGTTTGTGCAATAAAAACAAAGTTTGTTTCTAATGTGAAATTCTTTGTATTATTTTTAATAGCAATTAGATTTCATATTATAACCTGCAAATTGCAGATAAGCTATTTCCAAACATAATTTGGTAAATATTGGTTAGACTATTAAATTCCATTAGTTTCTTTAAAAACAGTGAAATACCCCAATTTTTCAAGGAACATGACTCTCTTTTGAATTTTGTACCTAAATGAAAATGTTCAATTCCTTCATATCCTTTTCAACATAGTATGGTTTAGGTGCAAAATCTGTAGGATATTGCTTTATATAATCAGTGTAATAACTACTTTATTTGTATGGATACTGCATTCTGACAGTTTTGTAGAGGAAAGACTATGTTCATTGGGCATAATACCCCTTTTGCTACTAGATCCAGGTAAAACAGAATAAATTTATATTTAGAAGTCTGAAATAGAAATGTATAGCTGGCAGTACTTCATTGCAATAAATGATTTTTGTTTAGCATTTGTCAATCTTTCTCAAAATATTTTCTGGTCTTAAAAGAAAGTAGATAATTGAAAATATGAATATTCAAGTACTTTATATTTTAGATGTAATGGATTGATTGTTTAAATTTAATTATTTTAAAGAAAGCTTTAGTCATTATGTATAGACAAGAATGAACAGTATATCATTAAATACATGTAGTTTTCTAAATATTTTTTTCTGTTTTCAGAAGGTCCTTATGGAATATTTGCTGGCAGAGATGCTTCGAGGGGACTAGCAACTTTCTGTCTAGATAAAGATGCACTCAGAGATGAATATGATGATTTATCAGACTTAAATGCTGTGCAAATGGAAAGTGTTAGAGAATGGGAAATGCAGTTTAAAGGTAATTATTTTAATTGAAAGATTTTTCCATCAAATGGAATACAAGTCATAGAAATACAGCTCAGCATTTTTCAAATAGCATATACACATCTTGCTACAATAGTTGTGACTTCTCTTTTACAATAGAGTAGTTAAAAATTGTGTGTGTATGCATATATATTTATATATAAAGAAATAATAGGAAGACAACTTTACTAGATTTCTAAAACTTCTGGAGCTACATTTAAGAGAGGGTTTCTTATTGTTGTCATTTTTTACTGGTCAGAGCTTACTGGTCAGAGCTTTCCCCATTCTCATGATGGAGGTTTGATGCAGCTCAAAAGTGATCTTTTGGGTATGATACTAAAGAAGTGGGATATGTCCTATATTTTAATTCCGTTACCTTTAATCACAAAGATGTACTTTTAAAGCTTTCAGATAGCAGTATATTCTTATCCTTGTATTTGAATCAATTAACTTAGAGGTCTGTGGAATCTCAATTTATTCCTTAAAGAAAATAGAGAAGATGGAACCTTCTGAAAGCTTCTGAGTTAATATGAACCCGCTAACTCATCTGTACTGCTTCTGATGTGGAGTTACATGTAATATTTTTTTACAGTGAAAAAAAGTTATGTTATCTTTGGAACATATAGTACCTTTTCATTTTTAAAGTAATTTTTGCAATACAAAAAGAGATGCATTACTTCAAGAAAATAGACTGTAACAAGACAGCCATGAAATTAATTTATATATTTGATAGCTTTGTAACAACAAATATAATAAATGTGATATCAACTGGATTTAAATATATGTATTCTTTATATCTTTTCCAGAAAAATATGACTATGTAGGTAGACTCCTAAAGCCAGGAGAGGAACCATCAGAATATACAGATGAAGAAGATACCAAGGATCACACTAAACAAGAATGAACTTTGTAAATCACCAAAGTCAGGGGCCTTTGGAACTGTAACCTTTTATTCCCCATCAAAGAATGCCCTACAACTTGGGTACACTTCATCTACTACAGAAAATTTGTTTTATATATGATCCTTTCTGATGAAGATTTGATTAGTAGGCATTCTTTGTGCTGCCAAACATTTATTTTTTCTTTTTTTTTGGGGGGGGGGGGGATGGGGACGGGACGACAATTATCTGTGTCTGGAAAGGCTTCATTAATGGGGGCCAGGGATATAAAATGCAAAGAAAGCAATTTCTTGTAACATATTGAAGCCTTTGAACAGTTTATTATTTACAGGCTTACGTGTTTCATGTGTAATTTTACTTTTTGAGCTCTACATGGAGAACCTAGTTCTTTTAAGGAATCTATAGTTAACGTAGCGGCTGAAACATAATAAATGGGACTGCTCAGACAAAACTACTTCAGAGCTCTGCAGATCATATAGTTTCAAATAAAATTCTCCTAAAGGATAAAATTTATTTGCAGACGATCTGAAATCTGCCTTCTATCCTTCTTTTTCCCTGAAATCAAAAAATATTTGTGCCTTATTTCACTTAGACTTGAATTGTTTTAAGAGGAAAACCCAAAATATAACATGAGTCACTAAAAGCAGCATTGAAGATTGGCTAGAACAGTCAGTTAACTGGAACAGTTGATGTCATTTTGTATATAGAATATAAAGTAATACACAGTATTATAGATATATATAGATATATATATAAATAATGTGTGTGTGCGTCTATATACATACACATACAAACTTTAAAGAGTATAATGGCCAAATGCATTCTCCCTTTGCTTTTTAAATAAGCTCTATTAGTACTTTTTCCATCCCCAGGGAACTCCTTACAAGGTGAGGAGCCTAACCTCATATCATTGTGAAATGAGGGTGTGCATGGATGTGGGTGCTTGAGTGCAAAAAGTGGGAGGATGGTTCCTACAGATACTGTAAATATGAATACAATTTTAATAAAGCATGTAAAATATCAAATGTGCTGTCAGACTTTATGTAGATGCTGAAAAGCTAGTATTGGTGGCTAGGACTTTGTGTTTCAGGACAAAAAGAAAGAAAATGACTTAATATTTTTGCACTGTATTAAATAAACCATTGGCCAGATATTTTTAAATAATTTCATCATTAATTGTAATATATAAAATGCAACAGTTTCAGTGAATAAAAACTGGCATATATCTGCATAGAACATATATCTGAAAATGCTTTGGTGAATATGTCCTTCTCCTTTCCTAGCCTATTAACTGCATCACTTTTTATTTTTTTGATGTAGCAAGTACTTTCAGAAATGGAACTTAAATTATCTTCCATGTTTTGCAAACTAGTCAGAACACTAATCCAGTTGTGGCATCTAACATTAAAAAGAAAAAGCATGCAATAAAACGAGTCTGGCAAGAGGGAAATGTGATCTTCAGTATATCTGTTAAGAGTGTTTTCTACAAAAAAATGTGAAAAGTATCTGGTCCCAAATGACCAAATAGTTCTGGCCTTTGCTCAGGTTGGATTGTAAATAGTGATTATCGATAGTGTCAATAGAAAAATACTGTTCCCCCCTTTTTCGATGTAAACCTTTTGTTGCATTTATTTTTAATGTCTAAGCCTCCATTGATGAACCAGTTATAATTCTTCCACTCCAAAATTTTATTCTATAATTGAAATTATGCGGTCTGTTTTGAGAAATGAACAATTTGTGTTCTTTTATAAAAAAAATAAAAGTGTTCTGTAGATATATTGTTAGTGTTGTACTTCTCATTTCATTATAGGGAAACAATAGTGTAAGGAAATCTTGGCCTCATTTGAGGTAGACATTGTCAGTATTTTTTTTGTTAATGATTTTTATTTGGGATGGTTCTGTCATTCTTCATGCTGTTTCACCAATTTAATGTGTGCATTTGTGCATACAAATCAGCAAGAAGAATGTTGTGCTTTTAAAATGTATTGTCAGTAATTTTGTTAGCCTTCACTTTGCTTAACATCTCTGAAGGCCCTCAAGGCTCCAGCCATTATGCATATTTCTTCGCATATATCACATCCCCACGAGTTAAAAGTAGATGTCTAAAATATGTAAACATGCTGAATTTCCTTTACAAGAGAAGCTTTTCATATTACTTAGTTTTAAGAGCAAAGGGAGTCATAACTAGAAACCTGCAAGTTGAACTATTTCATATTTCTAAGCTGTCCAATTTCTCAATTCTTGGTGGTGTACAAATTTAAAACCAAAGAAATGCAACATCAAGCTAATGAAAAAGCAAGATGATCATCCTAGAAATAAAAATTCCCCCAGCCCATCTTAACTCAAAGACTGACGAAAAAGCCAGGTTTCCAGCACTTATTTATATAGGAAAACAGGGTAAGGATCATTCAAATTTCCAAAGCAAAGCTGTGACAGAAAAGACGGGTCATGGCTACATTGTTCAAAAGATGGGGTGCAGAACATGCCAAATCAAATCTTACAGGATGGGCAGATACAGCAAAACATGGTTTCTCAAAATTACTATGTGCTATAAGAACCAAGGGTTTGTAGGTAATAATCAGCATTTTGAATTACCCCTGTAATCCTAATCAGTGTGGTTTGCACAGTAGAATAATGCAGACATTTTGCTGTTGAATTTAGCAAACAATTTTATTGTTTTGTTTCATGCTGCCTGTATAAAATTGATACCAATTCTGAAGCCCCTCCCAATTTTAGTGCTATATGGGTGGAGTGCTATATGATCTTCATCTGGCATGGTCACCAGATGAAATGTCACCATTTCTTGATAGCTTAATTTTCCAATTGGTCTTAGTGGACAGCCCTACATAGAGCACATTATAACCTCTAAGGCATGAATGAACATGAGAAAGGTTCAGGAATGGGTGCAACTAACAGACAAGGTAAATTGAGCAAAGACTTCCCTAGCTACAGCTGTCATTTGAACAGATGCTAAAGACTTCCACATTACATAGCAGTATAATGCAACATTCACTAGAGATGGAAAAATGTGTCCAGAATGGGTGGGCAATTTTTCCAAGGGGCCACATGAGAAACAGACTCTTGTGGAGGGCTGCTGCCACCCTCTCCCACTGCTGATGCTACAGTGCAGTCCTGCCCTCCACCATTGCCCCACCCCCTGTGCCACAACACAGATGCTCTGCCCCATGGGCCAGATTGGCACCTCCCACAGATGTGGCCAGTGGACCATAACATGTCCAGGTCTGATCCAGAAGGTCCATGCATCCCAGTCATGGTTACTTTTAGTAAATTTATATGATCCTCAGACCCCAATTTCTTAAAAAAAACTGCTGAGTTTATGTGCTGCCTTTTAAAGAAAAAAGGTCTAAACACATTGTATTTGTTTTTACAAATAATGTTAAGTATGATTTACTTATAGTTTGTATGCTGTTTCAATCCTGGAAACTGAGTGGCTCAAGGATTATCAGATGTGTTGATTCTTATGAGCAAAAATATTTGAATTAGTTTTCTTATAATCATTAAAAACACCTACCTAATATGATTGTATATGGCCCAATGCTTCCCATAATATTTCTTTCATTTAGGCAGTTCTTTTGTATAAAAGTGCTTTTCAAAAGTGTAGATCCAAATGATTTAACAAGCTGGCTATTCCAATTTCCTAGGACAAATATGGCACCACAAACTGATTTTTCAGGAGATACCACAGTCACTTCCAACAGAAGTTCACAAGAAGCATTTTTAGAATTTGCCTATGTGCAATTTTTCAGCTATTGTTCATTTACAAAACCTTTGCCTATCAAAAGGTGTGAGGAAACCTAGGCTATTTGCTTAGGTACAATTGCCAAATGATTATTTTCAGCAACAAAAAATCTTCTATGATCCTTTATTGCTAATCTTTTTTTATGGAATAATTGTTTAGTTTGTGTATTTAGAACAACCTGTATTTAAGCATATATCTAATGCTCAGGGATATTAATTAAATATTTGTCAGATGAACATTTTGCTGGAAAATTTGAGTATTCAGATTCTTTGTGATTTGGGGGATGAGCTAAACTGCAAAATCAGCTAAGTTCTCAATGTACCTTTTTACCTTTTATATTCCTTTTACAACCAGGAAACTGGAAGGATCTTTTGGTTTCAAGTAATGTTAACATATCCATTTATACTTTAGAATCCCTAACCTGTCTATAAACTACAGTCTGATCTTTCTTGTAGGTGGGTGGTTTTTTTTTTGGGGGGGGGGGTCATGGATTAGTCGGAGGCCATCCACATACCAGTTTAAAAAGCAGGGTAAATCCCATTTTTTCAGGTTTTTTAATTTGTACTTTTTATCCTCAAGCACATAATTGGTAAGGAGCTAGACAGCTGTACAACTATAATCCACTCTAATGTTAGCTAACAAACTGCAAACTGCCAAAGGAAAGGAAGGAGATCAGGATCATCATCTTGTAATTGTTATACACTTTCTTGCTGAATATGAAGAAAATACTGTAATAAATAACGGCAGAGGAAGTTAAAGTAAAAACGGCTGCTATGTCATACTTTATGTAAAAAATAATTATGTGTAAAAATTGTCATTGGTGGCATTCCATGTATAATATTTTTTCAATATTAGAATTTTAATTTCAATTAGATCTGTAGGCAATATATAGCAAAAAAAAGAGAAAGTAGTGTTTTGGCTATGTGAACTTGAAAGGTAAGGGATTAGGAGTCTTTTTAAATATCTTCTGTTTATTGGCCCTAATTAGAGCCAATAAATTTGTTTTTCCCACACAAGATAAATAGTGACTTGTCTTGACAGGTGAATAGTGTTCATAACATTAGTATTCATAACCAAGCTTTCTAATGATTGTCATCCACATAGTTTTCATCTTAGAGAAATATAGTAAAAAGTGTTCTCAATGGCAAATTTTGGAATACCATGCTCTAACCGTTTATTTTATTGCACCTTGTAAATTCAATTTGACTTGTTTTGTATTTGTTTGTATGCTTTCATGTTACTTTTAATACAATTTCCCTCTTGTTATACAGTATTAATTTTTTATAAAGCATCACTAGAACTTTGATTAAAAAGACAGGCATTTTTTTTAAAAAAAATAATGAGATGTAGTCTGGATGTTGAAAAAGAGTATCTACACACATCTCTTACACAGAGAGCAACTGTCTGCATCCAAGCCATAGTGAAGGATACAGCAGAGAAAGGAAAAGTAATTCTAGAACCTTGGTAACATCTGAATAAAGTAAGATCTGTGCATTTTCAAAATTTATAATATTCAATGTAAGAATATATTTAGAAAAGTCTCTTCTATTCCATTTCACTCCTGTTATCATTTGGGTAACAAAACAGTTTTGTTACTCAAAATGAAACTAATATTTGTTATGGCTTTTCATGTGATTCTAAAAATATAATTAAGAACAAATTTAATTTACAAAGTTCAACTTCAGAGTTTCATTTTTACGACTGAACATTTTGGAGGAACATGTATCTGCCAACATGATATATAACTGACTTGGACAATGGGCAATCCATCTAGTGCAGTGATAGAAGAATTTAGCCTACAAGATGCTGCTGAACTATCAGTAGTCCTTACCTTGAATCTCTAAGAATTGTAGCTCAAAAACATCTGGAAATTCATAGGTTCTCTTTCATAATTTTTCACAATCGTGATCATGATAATGTTATTTTAATTTATTGTTATAAACAGTCCCAGGCATTTCAATTCAGAATAATAAAAATTTAGCATACTGAGTTGAACAAAATTGCTTAAGAACACATACTACACCATAGCAAGGTTGGTTTTTTTTGTATTTTTATAAAATCTGCAAATATACCACAAAGAATGCATACTAAAAGCTAATATTCACACATTTGATTTAAAGAAATGAATGTAAATATAATTCTTTTATATACAGCTTAAATCCAAATTTACAACTGCATCATTTTCATGGAGGAGGTGGCATAGATTGAACAGAGATTTGAGTTGTAGAACTTCAGCAAACTGAAAAGATGCTATATAAAACTGGAATCATGAATTTTTGAATAGTGTCTTCAAAAAATAGAGCAGTTCTTAAAGGCTAGTTTCCATTAGAAATAGCTGGGAAATCCACTTATTTTCATATTAAATATGCACATATATTCATAATTGTTAAATTCAGATTCTCAAGCAATATTTCAGGAATATATAATGGACTTCATAAAGTTTCCAGCACAGAAATCCAATCTACATGTTGGATCACTTAGGGTATTTCCCAGCAATAAGGCATCAACAGTGGTAGGCTTTATTTGTGAAAGTAATCTGAAGACTGCTAAGTATCTGTTTTGCTGTTTCTAATAAAAACGCACCTATTTCTACCACTTTCTTCCATTTTATGGAAGAATGATTTCAATTCCCTTATTTTAACTATTTAAATCACAATAACTACATCTAGTTATTTCATGGATGCTTCTGGTTAATTTTCACCTCCTGACATAAATAATGTGTATCAATGAATCATTTATATTTTTAAAAAGTGACACTTTGGCCAATGACAGTACAGTTGGTCTTAGACAAAACAAGGGATTTTAACCATATTTAAAGTGATTTTGACATTAATTATTTTAATCTAAGTACATTTTCTTGTAAATCCCTTTTAAATTAAAACTGTGTCAAATATTAAATTACAATTAAATTGTTTAAATAATCTCTCCTAGAAATGCAAGTCACTTATACAATAGAGAAATTAAACAGAAAAATACAAGTATTTCTTCAAACTAGAGGATGATTATAGACCTATTTGTCTTTTTATTCTTTTTCTTAAACTTATATATATATATATATATATATATAAAATTTACCAAGTTTATGACAAGACAGTCATAATTCATCCTCTTTGCAAACTACTTTGCTTAAGTAGAAATAAGAATCGGCATTAAAAAATATTTAAAACTAAACAACCTGTTGCCTAAATTAAAAACTCCATACTCAGCTCAAAACCCTGAAACAAAAGAAACAGAAAGCAAAACAGATTTCAGAACTAGGTGTTGGAAGAGCATGTGTTATTATTGAAAAAATGCATTTATCAATTTAAATGCATGTATTCTGTATGTCTCTCAAAACTTTCTTTTTGGCTTTTATAAGTTGAACAAATTATAGATAACCTGATGGTAAAACATTCCTACACTACAAAAAGAATATAACTTCCTCAAAAAAATATGAGCTGGATTGTAAGGCATTCCAAAGAATTTATGTATATACTATTGGAATGCTGCTGCTGTAAACAGTAACTTGGGATAGCAACACAGACTAACTGGTATTTCCCAAGGATCTCTCATGATGCTTAAACCCAATGTAATTGAACAAAGGGAATTTACTTGGAATTTAATCTTGTTAGAAAGCAGATGCAATTCTTTTTTTTCCTATACATTTGTTTTTAATCAAGCTTTAAAATAGCTCTCCCTGAAGATCCTTGAGCTAAAATACTGGCATTAGGAGTTGATCTTAAGGTTCAAGCTTACTGAAAGTCTACTGCTCAGTTATATCACATCTTGAATTTGTGGCAGTACTATTCTGGTGTATGCTGTTATTCAACTCCTGTACAGTATTTGTAGTGGGAAAATTTATTGGGACCCACGTCTGAGAAACAGCTGAGGAATTACCAGCAAGGATCTTAGAAGCAGTGTTGGATTGATATCTGCGATGATCACACTCCTCACCAGGTAAATGCCTTTTTCTCCCAGATTCTTCATTAATCGGAGGCTAAAACAGAGAATGGGCATCTTATTACAATTTACCAGAATGCTCTATGAAAATTCATTATGGTATTATTTTTAAGTTCTCAACATTTTAAATATTATATATTTACCAAAAACAGCTAAAGGGTTAGCCTAATGCCACAATGAGAAAATGTTAAGAATTTAATCTTTATACATAGTAAGTCTCCAAATAGTATTTCAGCCATGCATATTTGTTCTGGATGGATTATAGAATATATCTAATGATGATGGTATTGGTCCTTGTCCTTTTTGTTCTTTTAAACAAATTGTGCTTACAGTTTATTTAAGTTAATTTGTTTGAGAGAATGTCAACACTCACATCAACTCTGAAATCTTCCAATCTTTTAAAATTGCATAGGTATTCCTGAAGTTTGGGATCAATAGGTGGAGTTTTAGACTGTGAATACTTCAGATAAGCCCAAAATTTTTCTAGCCCATAAAGTTGGCCTAAAAAAGAACAGATTAGCATATAAAAAATATGAAGCAAGAAGATAAACTATCATGGGAAAAATATAACAGCGCATTACCAGATTCATAATCTCTTTTTGTTTCTTCTTGGAAATCTTTGAAGATCTCTTGCCTGAACTTCATTTCCAGCCCATAACTATAAAAACGGAACAAGCATTCCAGGCCGTACCTAAAAAACAAGGAATAAATAGGTAAGTAGTCTAATTAACTCCATATGACTTCTTTTCTTGCTTTCTTATAATGTGGACAAATAAAAAAGCATACAGTTCTTTTTGTTTATGTTTCATCATCATCACTCTAGCCATTCATTGTCTACCCACTGCAGGATGAAGGCCTCTTCTGCATGTTTCCAACCAATATGGTCTTAAGTTTTCCTTTGCCTGTTGGCTAAGATCAAGTGTAGTAGTATGTCAAAGGTGCTTCCACAAATACTGAGTGAAGGGTCTGAATACTTATGCCAATGTTGTATTTCAGATTTTTCTTTTTAATAAATTTACAGACATTTCTAAAATTCTGTTTCCACTTTGTCATTATTGAGTACTGAATATAGATTAATGAGAAAAAAAATGAATTTCAACTACAGAATAACAAAATTTACAAAAGTGGTCTGAATGTACTACATATCCTGTTTAAGCTGTAGATCAACTACAGTTTTTGTTATTTAAAAGAAAAAAGGCTTATTGAAGAAAAAATATTTTTTTCCTCCAAAAAGTATGTTTCACTACACCATCCTTTTAATTCATTCTTAGGGAACTCAGGAATTAAAAATTTGAATAATTTGTTGCAAACAATTCAGTTACAATAGTAGCAAAAAAAATTACTGTTAACACACTCAGAACTTTATACAAAACATATCAGCCCTAGAATGCTTTTATATAAAAATATAATGTGAATACATTAGGAATACTATGTACCATTGTATCAACCTATTTCTAAAAGTTATAACAGAATAATAGAATTGGAAGGGATCTTGGAAGTCATTTAGTCCAAACCCCTATTCAGGCAGGAAACCCTATAATATTTCAGACAAATGTATAACATTTAAGACAAATACAATTAGTTACAATAGTTATAGAATAGTGAATTCAAAAATAAAAAATTCAAAAATTTAAGTATCTTTCTTTTAAAAAACCTAAGTAGGAAAAGTAAAATTATAAATGGCCTTAATATATAGAGAAAAAACATCTGTCTTACAGTATTAAAATGCTAACAATGGAGAGTAATTTAACAGTGTTAAACAAGGCAAGACAATAGGAATAATGTTCACATTGAGTACAATTAATATTTGTAACTCCCCTAATTTAAAGAAGATTGGACAAGCATATGAATACTTATAAATATTCTCAACTATAGAAGCTAAATAGAACATTCATATTGGAAAGCAATACATTTCCAACTTTCCATCATAAACAAGAGATTACTATTTCATTTTCTATATATTTACTGCCTCCAATTATCTCGGTAATCTATCTTAGAAAAGAGAAAACAGATCCTTGCCATTTAGTCCACCTCTTAAGATTGGTTAACATAATTAAACCTGATAAGAAGAGTTAGAACCAGGAACATTTTCATTTTATTATTTTTTGCTTATAATTTGAGATTCAATATTTGTTTTAAAAAAAAAATGCTAGTCATGAGCAAAATGGAGCAGGGTGGGATCCAACTGTCTATCAGATTACTTTTATTATTCCTTCCTGATACTCAACAAACAGCTTGTGTTCTGTGGAAAATAAATCATGTTACTAAACGCTGCTGGAAGAGCTATTCTATTTTATAATACTAAATACTATTCATACCAGTACTACTAATATTGTGTATAATTTTAGAAAACTATAAAACTTTTAGTATTACCTATAATGTTCTTTTGCATCATCTAGAGCTAGTTGCCTGAATTCTTCATACATTTTCTTATTAAAGTGGTCTCTGAGAAAAAAGGACCAAAAACGAAACAGTGTATTCATTTCTTGAGACTGGCCAATTCCCAACCGTTTCCTTTCTAGAGACAAGAGAAAAAAAGAAGTAAAGTATGAGGTAGCCCGTTTAGTATATTTCTTCAAATTGACAATTTATACTAAAATACATTATAAATGTAGCAAACTAGCTAATCATTTGAAAAAAAATATCTGAATGTTAAAATCATATATCACATTTATCTATGAGAGTGTTAAAATTAATATTATTCCAACAAGGCTTGTGATTTATTCTAATGGACTTTTTTTCATTTCATTACCATGTGCTTAAAAAAAATTCTAGTAGTATTGTGAGATAAATAGAAAAAAGAGCATTAGAATATAGTGAAGAAGCAGATATGAATGTTCATTCACCTAGTGCATTTTACAACATTTGGTTGAAATGAACCTGTTTCAAGTTTTGGAAATAATACAAAACTATTTGCTTTACACTGTTTGCTCATACAACACTCTATGAGGGAGATAGGTGCTTTCTAAATACAGTGGAACCTCGGGTCATGACCATAATCCATTCCAGGACTACAGTTGCAACCTGATTTGGTCGTGACCGGAAACACAACTGACTGTGCATGCATGGCAGGGGAAATCGGTGTGGAAAGGGAATCGGCCGGGTTTGTTCGCCACCTGATTTTTGAATCATGACCCAATTAAAAAAATTGGGTGGATTTTTGGGTCGGAACCCGATTTAATTGCGAACAGAAGCCACTGTATGTTAAACAAATAAACAAATATATGTTCTTTTTTCCCAATTAAAAATAACAAATATTAGATTTTTACCATTTAGGCATCTACGGCGATATTTATGGTACACTTGCTGAGTAAAACCATTTTCCTTCAGAAGTTCATGAGAAGGATGTTGAAATTTAGGAAGTGAATGAGGGGTACATCCATAACTTCCTGACAGCGGAGCACCTTCTAGTGGTGATGCATTTGAACTGCTATGTGAAATGAAACAAACAAGTTTCAGATTTTTTCCAAAAATGCCTTTTGTAATGGTATAAGAAACATAATTCAGCAGATTGTCTCAGTCTCTAACATTAAGACTAGTCATTTCACAAATTGTAACATTAAATTGAACTTTCACAATGAGCATATAACTACTGTATGTTATAAGTTTATATGAATGTTTTTTTTCTTCCATTCAATCATGTACGGTTCTTGGAGATTGCCTGGACAAGGCCTTGAGGTTTTCTTCGCAAAGTCTTTCACAAGTGGTTTGCCATTGTCTCCTCATAGGACTAAGAGAAAGTGACTTGCCTCAAGTCACTCAAGTGGCTTTGTGCCTAACGCAGGAGTAGAACTCATGGTCTCTGAGTTTCTAGCCTGATGAACCTTACCCTCTGTACCAAATTGACTATGTGACCATTTATCTGTGACAAAAATGCTAGAACATAGAAAGCTACTATCACTAAGATGGTTACATGAGAGATATTTTCTTCTTTCCCAACATGCTTGCTTTCCAATCATAGGTCATCCTCAACATGACCATAATTGAGCTCAGAAATCATGACAATCATTAAGTAGGTCACATGACCAATTTTTAATGACTATTTTTGTGAAAGCCATTAAGCAAACACTATGGTTATTAAGCGGATGTGGCCTTTAAATGAATCCACTTTCCTCCATGGATGTTTTTTTGCTGGAGCCTGAAGTAAATGCTTGAACTGTCATTAAGCAACTGGTCATTAAGTGAAGGCTACCTGTAATACTTTTAATATAGGAAAACTTTAGGACAAGGGTTCCCAATCCAAATCCGCATATAGTTGGGAACCGGCGAGCACACAAAGCGTCATTTGTGCATAAGCCGGATCTAGACTGAATGCATGAAATCATCAACCCCCACTGCCTCTGCTGCCACCAGTCCATAGACCCAGAAAGGTTGGGACCGTTGCTTTAGGCCATGGGGTATCAAACTTGCCATCATATTGCTGTCATGTGAGATTTCATGATATTTTTCCCTTCAAAGAGCTGGGGTGGGTGTGGCCTGCACATGACATATCTGGCCCACGAGCTGCCAATTTGAAACCCCTGCTTTAGGACATGCTATCAGTTGTCTGCATTCTATCACAGCATGCTTCCTTAAGAAGTATGCTAACTTTTTTCTGAACATTCAAATCTATTGATTCTAAACATTTCAAAACATTACAGCTTTAATTATACAATATTTAATCATACAATAAATATAATGAAAAACAATTCTAAGTAATAAACAAGGTACATATAGCTCTGTATTTGACTGTGGGCAAGCATTTAACATATTTGCTTTGTCAACTATAAGAACACATGCGAACTACTTTGAAATAAAGGCTATAAAACCTTGAAATAAGTCACTGACTGTATTCAGTAAAGTTAGTCATATGTTCTATATAAACTATTATGTATCCTTTTTCTTCAGATAGCTCATTTGTTTCTTACTTTAATATAATTTTAGATAACATTGATAATCAAAATAATTCCTGAGTATTAATTTTTCATTACATAATAATGAAAAAATATGAGACGAATTAGCAAAAATGCTATTTTCCAGAACAATGGGGAAAAAATTCAGGTGAAAGTTTTTAGGTTTTCATTGGAAAACTTTCCAATGCAAATTAACACATATATATAAAATGTGCATCAACCATCATCATCAGTTATATGAGCTGAGAAATTTTCCACTGATTTTTGCAATTCATAGTAGCCCGATAAAGACTTTTAAAAAATTATAAACATTTTGAAATTAATAATACTTGTTAATCTTGATTATTATAGTTATCAAATTTGAATCTAATACAGTGACTTTCCCATTCGACTTATACAATTCCCAGAAAACCCTGAAGTATACACCAAATAAGATTCTTGAATGCAATTAATATGTGGTCATTGTGATATTAGCTCCAAACAACATGAAAAATGTTCGGTCACACTGATTATAATTCAACTGCTTCCTAAAAAATTTCAGATGCCATTGAACTTGTAATGAAAGTCAATCTCTATAAACATTTCATTACAAAATAACAACATCCAGAGCTCTTCCATAACAAAATACCTATGGCAGATAGTTCTTAGTTCTTGTTCACAATTGCCTTCAATAATTTATAATTGCAAGCCACCATAAATTACCAATTTATGTTACAAATCTCAAACATAAATATTGGAGTTTGTGGAAACTTGTTTTTTTACTTTGGCCAATTTTCTGATACAGCAATTGATGTACAGTTTTGTTACTTTTACTTAACATTCCTTTACCTTAACAATTGTTAAAGTTATGTTAAATGTACAGGAGCAGTAGGTCGGGTGAGGTGTTGGCACTTACTTAAATATGCAAGGTGTTTGGGGGATTTAACATTATTTTTCTTCATTTCTTTAAATATTTTAGGTGAACGCAGCTTTTTTTAGCATTTTGTGGAGTCTTCATGCGACATATAATATGTGATCAATGCAGGAAATAATAAACCTTCTGCTGCTATGAAAAGCATTTTAGAAATAAAAGCGATAAATAATAAAAAAGAACCAAAGAAACCTTATCTGTTTGAACACCTAATTGTGTAAACTTTCACTCTTCTAAGGACATTTCAAATGAAGGATGGAAAGGAAATTAACAAATATCTCCTCTTATTTCTACTAGTTTTACAACTGCCACAGATTCAACTGGGAAAATAACACCCAAACTTACTTCTAAGCAATAACCTTGGTCAAATCTTGAGTATATTTTTGAGTATATGTGGCTTTCAGGAAAATGGTATCTTCCACTTTTTCATATTTTGAAAGACCAAGTAATTAAATTAACTTCATCAGTGATTATAAGAACACACACAAATTAAGATTATCAATACATAATAAATTATTTCTACCTTATGGAAGATGTTCTTGGTCTGTGATCCTTGGAATCCATTACCCAGCCAACATGACTTTCTAATGGAGGGTTGGTACTATGCCGTGTTTTTCTTTTCCTTCGTGTCTGAAATAAAATATAGCATTATATTTCCCTAGTGTGACTGGAGCCACTTTTCTGAAGAATCACAGTCTAATTAAAATCCAGTTTCATAAAATTTCACTTTACACATCATATGTATTATGAGGTCATAAAGTTGATTATGGCATACTACTCAACTACTAGCCTTAACAGGAAGCTGACAATACATTTCAAAATAGATTTAGCAGCTTTGACCTAGCAAGGAATACAACATGTTTCAAAAACTGCTCTCTGGCGGTAATAGCAATAATTTACAATGATCCAGAAAGATATGTTGGTTTTGGTTACCCCAACATCAATAATTCTTGCTTCTTTAACCACAGGATAGAATCTTGGTGTTTTGTTAGGATCTTGCAGTCTTGGTGTACGAGGTGTTTTAGGTGTTCTGGTAGGGTGAACTCCAGGAGATTCAGGAACAGCTGTTGGCAGTGAGCGAGCCATTGTTGTTGGAGGTATTTCCTGGACACCAAACAACTGACAAGCCAGCTCTTCAGTAACATCTAATTAAAAAGACCATATGATTAATACATGTATAGGTAAGTACTATCTTTTTATCTTACTTGGTCTCAATAGCACTGTTCTATTTCACTGGGCCTATTTTTATTTATTATTCTCTTATTTTGCATATTTCTGTTATCCTTTATATATTCAACATTTTTCCTTGAGTGTAATATACATCACCAGATATTAAAGTTTAAATTAAATTAAATTGAGATTAAATTTAAAAAGAACAAAATAGATAGTGGAAATTACAAAAACCATACACTTATTGCTTCACATTTATGTTCTCTAATTATGTACTACCATGAAATATTCTATGTATCTGCTGAAGAAAAATGCAGCTTGTGAAAGTTTATACCTTTTTATAAAAGTTACAATTGGAAGATATTAGACTTCTGCTTTTTTGCTACCATAGATTAACAAGTTTACCTCCTACACTGTCTCAAAATGAAACTTTGTTTTGACTAGTAGCAACAGGTTTCTGAAAAATTCTAATTCTTTTTAACAGTACAAAGTAATGAAAACCAAAACAAAGCAAATTGTTTTGTAAGAAATTATGAAATATTCAACGAAGAATCATTCCACACACATGTTCTAAATCAGGGGTGGGATTCAAATTTTTTAAACGGTTTTGTGGGTGTGGCCTAATGTGGATGTGGATGTGGCTTGGTGGTCATGTGACTGGCTGGACGTAGCTTATATGTAAATATTATAAATATTTATGTAAATATTAATTTTTTTATAAAAAAAGAGCAACTTTTACCTAAGATCAGGCAAAGCAGGCAGGCAGATTGAGTTGCTCACAGAATCACAGATTCATTCAGAGGTCTATATATCTGCCACTGGCTACCTGAGTCTGTCACATAAAATCTGCTAGCAAGTTAACTCATAAAATTAACTCACAACACACCATATATGTAAATATTGATTTTTTTTTAATAAAAAAAGAGCAACTTTTACCCAAAATCAGGCAGAGCAAGCAGGCAGATTGAGTTGTTCAGAGTCACAGATTCACTTAGAGATCTGTGTTTCTGCCATCTGCTACCCGAGTCTGCACTGGAATAATAGAAGCTTCAGTCCCACCTCTGCTTTTAGATTAGCTAGAAAGCAAGAAATTCAATGATTTTCTGCTTTCTAGCTAATCTAAATCTCCTGGCACAGCAGAACAGCTGATGGTTGGGGGAAAAAAAAGAAAAATAGCAATTTAGCAAGCAAGTTTGATGGCAGGCATGCCAGGTAAGGAGTGAGTGGGTGGGGCAGGCAGAGCCAGCCAGCGGCGCAATTTGCCGGTTCTCCAGCAGGTAGAGTACCACCCCAAGTGAGAGTGCATTTTGCGCGTGCATATTAGACCATTTCCTAAAAACCTCAGCTGTGCTGCTCGGACAGCTGACAAGTGCTGTGCATGGGTACACAGTGTTTGAAAATCCTCTTCTTTCCTGCTTTTTCAACCTCAGCTGTGCTGCACAAAGCAGCTGAGGTTGAAAAAGGAGGAAATAAAGGACAGCCAAGAGCCTGAGCGGGCAGCTGGGCCAAACAGAACCTTCGGTGTCTGCTGCTCTTCAGAGCTACCGGTTCTATAAAACCGGGCCAAACCGGTAGCATCCCACCCCTGTTCTAAATACACATATACAGAAAGCTCTTGAAATTGAAAGGGATAGCTGTAACACCATGTTAATATTAGAGAAAAGATTAAAATTTTATCCATATTTCATCATACTGAGTGTTATATTGATAGTATAACTTTTTTTGTTGTATTATCAGACATACATACCTTTTGAAGGACCAGGAGAATCATCCTGATTTGAATCCATTACATATTCAGGAGTAAGACTATCAAATTCTTCTTTGCTGATGAGATGTAACTTCTTAAAATTTTCAACTTCTTGCTGAAATGTGTAAAATTTTACTATAACAAGAATAATAGCCAACAGGAAAAATGCAAAATAAACAATACATTTAATGAATTGAAAATATGAAATAGTTATTCCACCTGGCAACAGAGAACTGAAATACTATGGTGCTGATAATGTTTGAAGTTTTCAGTTTTCTCAAATTCATATTGTATGCCTTCAACATAAAATCATTCTCATCAAGCAAATTACTCAAATTGTAGGATTAAGAGAACAAATGCCTGACCCCCTCAATTATCAAAAAAAAAAAAAAAGCAATATTTCACAGCTCTCAGGTCCCATCTTATCCTCTGAAATAAATATTTGGTTAAACAAGATCTATTACTGTCAATGATCTAGTTAATAGATTATTTATGTGATTACTTGAAAAAGTAGCTTTACTATGAAATATTCAAAGCTGTGTTTTAGTTTTCTACTCAGTTTCAAGAGACAATTATCATATGACTGAATTTTTATTATTTTGATTTTGAAACAGCTTCCTTCCCAGTCTTCACTTATGACTAGAATTTGTTATAGATTCTTCAAATATATTTTCATCTATGCTGAAGGGTTAAGGCCATAGCAGCCACATTCATTAAATTACATTTATTGCTCAAATTCATAATTACCTTCATAGCAATACAATCATTTTCACTTTGCTCTGTCCACAAATCCTGTTCATAGTAGTATAATCCATCATTGATAACTTTGGCAAGTTCTGATGTAATTTTTGCACGTGACACATGGTTGCCAGTTCTATCTCCTCCGGGATGTTTTCTCATATATGGTGGAGTCTGCGTCACAATCAAAATCTTATTTAAATCTTGATCATCAATTTCATAATCTGAATCACTTTCTGACCATTCTGTGAATGTATTCTTCCTGCCTTCTATTTGTTCCATCTCTTCGTCAAACAAAAAATCAAGTTCTTCCTGTTCTTCAGAAGATGGTGGCGGTGGTTGTTGATTTGTCAATTCCTCACGTCCAGACCCAGATTCCTGAAAATGGCAAAAAAATGTTTAATGTTCTTGCAAAAATAAAAACATTTACAAGGAGAAATAATAGATAAATTATCAGCAGACATAGTATTTTTAGCATTCATGCTTAATAAAATAGAAAAGAACAGAATGTACAAATTAATGAATGGACTTAAATATATCAGTAATGGGGCCAATAGATTCTACATATTATTTTCCTCTTTTTCCAAAGCTGCATTAACATATGATGTGCAGCTGCCATCATCTTAATATGCATTTCTTTCCTTTCTAAGAAGCAAACAGTTGACAGACCTAATCCCAACCGTTATCCAGAGAAGCAATTAAACCAGTTCTTTCTACAGTCTATTCAAAAAAGAATACCAGCAATGAATATCAGGCTGAATATAGCTGGGTATATATGCATATAACATCTTTGTTTGCTACTTTTTCTAATTCCCTTATGTAATGTCTTTTTCTTAAGTATGGTATCTCAATCTTTCAATGAGACAACCATAATAAGTTAGATGTAAAATTTCATGGATATCTTATCTGGGAAACATGTCTGAATATGACCTATTTTTCCTGGACTTGTTCTACATTCACAGGGATTTTTTAAAAATACAAACATTAAAATTAACATTTTAAGCATTACCTTTGGCTTCACTAAGGAAGGACGATGTCTTTTTTTAACTTCTATCCAAGGTTCAGAATCCAAATCCGGGAGGCTTGTAGATAATGCTTTAGATATTACTTCAAGATTGCTTGTTTCAATACTTTTCTTAATATTTAGACTTCCTATTCTTGGAGAACTTGGTGCAGATTCTAAAATGGAAAAATATTTTTCTGTGCTTGGAAAGATTAGCCCATTTTTTGTTATCAACCAACCTATTTCTTAATAAAATTTATATATTTTTCTCTTTCTGGTGACTATAAGTGTTATAAAAATATCTTAAACCTCAAAGAGATAAGAGATGATTATAGAGATTCAGTTTTAATTTTTTTTTATATACAACAAATAATGGCACCAAGGATAAAACAAAATGAATATTGACGTTTTCTCCTGCTTTATGTCTCACAACAGATACAATTCAAACTATCACACTAAATAAAGTCATGCAGATTATATTGTGGCCCGGAGCATGTTTCAAATAGTATGCTATGGAAATATAAAACTACTAACCAAATAAACCAGTACTTAGTATATAATATTTTTCTAGCTAGCTGCAAAAGACACACAATAATCTTGAATTTTGTATTTCCATCAAACAACCAAGAATATAAACTGTATTTTTGATTTTTAAGAAATTCACATTTAAAAAATCCTGTCTGTGCTGGTATTCCTCCTTACCCTATAAGGATCTGGCCTTGTAAACCATTGATATCCCATCTTGGACTGTGGACAGAGTGAAATATATTACCTTTCCCATAGTAGGGGTGGAGGTGGGGGGGGTATTATGGACAGAATTATAGGCATAATTAATTTCAATTCTTAAAACCTTGCATTTTGTAAAAATTAAGGCCACTTTTAGTACTAGCAATACCCATATTTTGTGTCTTTCCCTCAACATGTTGAAAACAACATACTAGTGTACCTGTTGAGAGTGACAATTGTATATTCCTGGCTTACACCAAACATTTTGAAATACAATATGTTGCTATTAAGAACTGCAGTATTAGCTTGTTTGAAAACATTCTTTCTCTTAATTGCCTATTTTTCTAGCACATAAGACAAGCCACCTATTGCATTATTCTCAGGCTATACAACACATTATTTCAAAAATAGCATGTGGCCATTAAATGTCTAATAGCTTACAAGTTTAGTTATATTTTCCATTTTCTATTTCTTCAAGAATAGAAGTGAGGGGAAATTAATGGAAGTAAACTGAAAACTGAAGCAGTAATGGCCAATAGTAGTTTATAAATTGCCACTTGATTAAAAATCGGATATCTGGGTCTTTATGAATAAAGAGCCTTAAAATACAATTTGAAATAAAAACATCTTACCTGTACGTGAACCAAAAATCTGCCCTGGTATGAATTCTGGACAGTTAATAAGCTGAGAAAAGTCTGTGTGTGGAAGACTACGTGGAGAGGGACCTGGAATTGGCCATTTTTCTGGTTCTATCTTTTTCCTCATCTTCTGATCTACTATTTCTATTTCGGTACTGTCCTTTAAGGCCTGTATTATACAAATAAATATATTAATTAACCTACATGTAAATAAAATGCAATGATGCTTAACACTAGAACCTTACCTTTTATACATAAAGTTTACAAAATACAAGTTACTTAATTTCTGTTTTGATAGACAAATATTTATGAAGCCAACAATGACCTTTGCAAGAGTTTGTTTTGTTTTCACTTCTCAAGATGGCCTGATTTTCTGAATTTTGCAAAAATCTGTTAAACAAATTTTCATTTGGAAACAGCTTTTCCCTGAACTACAAGCAACGTTTGTTCTATACTTTGGCAAATTTCTTTTAAAATGAAATATGTAATTGTCTCACTCCTGGTTTCTACAGGTAATCTTTGATATTTATAATATATATATAAGTTTTGACAGCTGGTCCACCTTTCTTCTCCAGGTTTTCTACACTAAAATACTATTTGCTAAAAACAGTTAAAATGTTTAGTTTAGCACAAAATGTAAGTATAAATGAGTTATGACAGCAATTAGGACTGGGATTGCCATCACTCAGTTATATGATTGTAAATCATGTCACATGACTGCATTGCTTAGCAATAGTATCCTTACGATCTATACTGTTTCCTAGTATGATTTGATTGCTTATTGTATCCTATGACTATTATTAAGTGTTGTACCTTATGACTCTTGACGAATTTATCTTTTCTTTTATGTATACTGAGAGCATTTGCACCAAGACAAATTCCTTGTGTGTCCAATCACACTTGGTCAATAAAGAATTCTATTCTATTCTATTTTTAGCAATAGCAATTTGGGCAGTCCTGGTTGTCATTACCCAAGAAGTGCAGGTTGCTAAATGGGAAATCCAAAGAACTTGGGTGCATGCATGTGAGCATAGGGAGGCCGAGAGGAGAAGAAGAACTGTACATCTTTGTGAGTATAGACATGCCCAGGACAGAGCAATTGGGTAGACATATAAAAACAGAGGGAAATACAGAGAAGAATGATTTAGGTGTGATGTGAGAGTGCAGGGAAGGAGGGATGGCATGGTGCATGGTAAAATCAGAATAGGGATTTAATTGAGTGACTTGTGATCTTTCCTGCTGGCTTCCCCAGCGACGTTGCTTGGGGGAAGCTGGCAGGCAAGGTCATCAATGGTGATCAAGTAACTGTGGAATTTTGCAATCATCATAAGTGGGACTTGGTTGCCAAATGCCTAAATTGCAATCATGTAATTGTAGGGGCACTGCAAAGGTTAGAACTTTGAATATCAGTTGTTAAGCAGCCCTTGTTCAGCACCACCAGTTTTGAATGATGCTGAATAGTAAAAAAGAGCTACCTAGACAATGAAAATTATGATCTTCTACAATAAGCAATCAATATATTTTAACAGTATTCAATTTCTTTTTTTAAAATTTTACCTTGTATATTGGATAAGTTTCTTTATGTATTCAAGATTGTATTTTATTCTTTAAATTTATATGCCACCCATTTCACTCGTATATTCTTTATAAAAATATAAAGTGTAAAGTGTTATTAGAAAATAATTGTTTGTCATTAATTCAATCCATCTATTTTCAATGCAAATTGCAATTCCAGAAAATAGCGTCCAAATAAAAAAATGTTTTGTTAAAATGTTTTTTTGTGCAAATATAATATACATTTGTTACTATTTAGAAATATTGATTTACCTCTAATATTAAGTTTACGTTTGTAGTGAGAGCCTGAACACGATGGAAGCTTGCAATCAAAGATATAGGCAAGAATCCTTGCTGGTCCATCTTCCTTCTCAAGAAGAAGTCTCTTTCCAGATTTTCTACGCTAAAATAATACTCGCTAAAACAATTAAAAATGTTTAGGTTAGCGCAAATATAAGTTTGGAGAGCCCGTAACCTCTGAAAGCTGATTAATAGGACTTTCTTCAGTATTAGTTTTTGATATAATTCAGCATTTAGATTTTGATTCTACTTTTATTTGTATATTATTGAATTAAACTATCCACGCATAAAAATATTCTGATTTTTTTGCAGTTCAAATACAATATAGTAAACTAACCATCAAAACCTCTTTAGAAAATTGTTCTATATAATAACAACACAAAGTGTCTTAGACATGTGAATTTGTCACACTGTATTACGTAAGGTAAAATATACTTTTTTTGTAGTATGAAGAGTGTCAAGATTCATCTTTTGTAAAAATTCACAGTGAAAATGCTTAATGTGAGTAAAAGAACAAACACTGATTTTCAATCAATGCCACCGATACATTAAAAAGCTAAGGTTTTCAAAGACAGTTTATTTAAAGTTTGGCTTCTTCGCCCCTCTGTAGCACATACATTAAGCAATCTACTTACATTTGGCGTTTAATGTATTCTTTCAGCAATGTTTCATCCACAGAATACATCTGCACTCCTGTTCCATCATCATAGTAATACATCATATTAGTGCTAAGATCTGGCTGAAATGGCTGATCAGTCCTTTCACTATAGTGCTCTCGGTAGCCACAAGAATAGTCATGGTTCACTTCAAAATTAACAGAAGAAAAAAAGTAGATTAAGTAAATGTACCCTTGAAAGCTTTCATTGATTGATTCAACATGAGAAAGGAATCACAGAACATTTGTACTAACTTAAATATTCTTCCTTTTTCTGTTGCCAAGAGTTAACAATGGCATCATGTCACTGTCAACATAATCAATACATAGATACATATCCAACTATTCCTCTTATTCTTGAGGGTAAGGATTAGTGGCTTAGATTTTTTTTACTAGTTTCCTTAAATATATATGGCTTGGCTTGTAGGGAGCAAAGTTCATGGCTATTTAATTGGGGGGGGGGGATCAAGATTTCTGACCATAGAAAAATTGGGACATTGAATACTTTTGTATATCAATAATCATTCCTATTTTTATTATAATATTTAAGTCTGAATCTCTTTACAAAACATCAGCAGGATAGGAGCAGTATAAATCTCGGGGGGAGAGATATCATTTTATACATAACTCTTCATTCCTCGAGGAGTTTTCCATACTATTATTAATCTAGTCTCCAATTGTTTTTAATTGATTTACTGTTGATGTGTTCTTGGCTTTTATATCTCTCTCCTCAAATGAAATGTTATGAATTTTTTTTCAGATTCTGTATCAGACTCTGGGCAAAAGTACAATGTTGCAAATTAGACATTCTGAAGGAAAAATCGATTCTTAAGATGAAATATTAGAGTTAATTCTATTAAATCACACTTGCAAATTTCGAATTTCCTATAATGTCCTATTATGCAACAGATTATAATTGCTTGTTACACAAACCAGGCACAAATTAAAACCCTAAGCCCATTTCAAATTGTTTATTATTATAGTTTATAAAACTAATTCATATTAGAAGCCATGGGTTGGCATTATGTTATAAGCAACCCATGTAACTATCACTAATTTTGCAATTTAGTATGTTCAATACCATTCTTTCTTAATAATTTTCTATTTCCATACTTCGAGGATTTCCTCTTCCACGTCCTCTTCCTCTTCCCCTGCCTCTCCCTCGTCCTCTGTAAAATCCTCTAACGCTGCCACCTTCACTTCTCACACTTGAAACTTCATCATGATCTTCTCGCTTTTCCCGATCCCTTCGCCAGCCTTTTGGAAACAGAAGAATAAAGTTCTGAAGTTACACAACTGAAGTTTCCATAGTCAGACATCAACGACATGCAAGATAAACCACCAGAATTTTACGTGACATACTAGTTCTTGCCTCGTTACGTCTGTTGTTGTGAGGCACAAGTTTGCTCGTTTCTGGCTGGGACCTTGAACTGTTCTGAGATCCTGGCCTTTCTTGGTTATCTGGCTTCATATCATCTAAATGAAGTGGTACCCATTTATGCTTATTACCTTCAAATATAAAATATAAAAGTATAATGTTGTTGAGAATATAGATCTAATACAATCATTTCTAAAATATTAGTTGCAATTAAATTCTAATATATACACAGAGAGGAAAACATGTAGTAATATTCTCAAATATTCACATTTACTATACTTCGAAACTATAGATAAAATTTAGTCCAGACTAACCTTTTTTCTTTTGATTGTTAATCGGACCCTCATCTTCACTAACATTTTCTCCATGAATATCTGGATTTATCTCCACATTTTCCTTTATTTTATTGGCATTTTTCTTTTCATTTTTTTCTTCTTTCTCTTTTTTTATTGGAGCTTTTTTATTCTGATTACTTACATTTTTACACTGTAACAAAATATTAAAGGATGTAAGAATTTAATTTTAAGTACTGAGGGCTTTCAAAATTATTTTTTTTAAAAAAAAATAATCCAGTTTTCTTCCATCTTTACTTCTGCCCCTTATTAATCAAATGATTGTATATCCCTTATTTACCAGAGGCAATTTGCATAAAGTCCCAATTATTATTTCTTCAAATCTGCCTCAAGTACAAACTTTTTATGAGCTGTATTTTAATTTTCTTTCCATATAATGGTGGGAACAAGATCCATTCTTTTCTTTACATACCATGAGGGGAACAAGATCCATAGAGAGACTGTAGGGTTTTGCATTTTCTAAACTAATAATTTCTTACCCATTCATGATCACTTCTAAAACAGGTGATCGAGCTCTCATTAAGAAAACGCAAGTGATTAAGGTCAACAATAGAGACTAGCTGCAAAATGATTACAGAAAGCTCTAACTTTCTGTAATTTCTAATTGTCCTTGTTAAGCACGGTCAAAGTGTCTTCAGCTATCTTCAAGCATACCAGTTCTTTTATTTTTATTCATTTATTTTAAAAAATTATATAGCTTCCCATCTTATAACCACCTCTGAGGAGCTCCCAATCAAAAATAAATAAATATGACTTTTTACTTAAAATATGCTTTCAAAATAAATACATCATATGGTTAATGACAACAGTACAGAAAAAAGAAAAGCCATCAATGTGGAAGTATTACTGTTGCATCTAAGATTTTAAAAAATAAATAGTATAATTTTCCACAGAGTGGAAGAACCAAAGGTTCTGTGATTAACTAAAGAAATAAAACTATGAATATTCTAGATAGGAAGGACCACCAGTAGAATGCTAAGAGTAGCAAAAAGTATATATTTGTACTCTCTTCTAGAAGTGTAGACAAACAATTCCCAAACAATAATGACATAGAAAACTAAACCTGTGGTGCATCCCCCCCCCCAATGAACTTACCTCAGAGCTTGCAATTTCACTTGGTGTTGGCCAGTTTGTTGCATCATTGAAATAATCTGCCTGCAGCAATTAAAAAACAACAACTTAATGTTCATACAATATTTATTCAAAAGCAAGCAGGAAAGTATTCATAATCGTCAATGAAATCATACTATAGCAACTAGATTATAGATAAGATTATTAATAACTGTTCACTATTACAGCAGGATGACAAGATGCAAAGAGCAAATAGAGGTACTCCTCACTTAAATTGCGACTGGCAACTCCATCGCTAAATGGTGAGTCGCTAAATGAGGCATTATGGTCCATGATGTTCTGCTTCAATGGTTAAGCAAATCACCCCTGGTCCTTAATTGAAACATCACATGACCAAAATTTGTGGTTTTATGTTGGCTTCTCATTGACCTTACTTCATGGGAGCCACCTGTGAAACATGGAAATGAAATCACAAGACTGCAAGGCTCTGTAATAGTCATAAACACCCACTGGTTGCTAAGCCCCCTGCCTCCTGATTTTGACAATGTGACTACAGAAATGCTGCAATATCATAATGTAGCCTTATTGGTAAGGTTAAATATCTTTAAAAACATGTATATCTAAGAAGGAAAAGAGATAATACGGAATTTAAGAACAGAACTGAAGCAATACTAAAACCTAAAAGAGTTTTTGAAAAAGGCATGAATTCACATACTTTCTACATAGATTTTTGGGGGTGGGCAGGATTGAATTAATTTTTCTGAATTTATCAATACTGTCATAGTAACTTGGAAAACAATGCCATGGTAGATGTGGCAGTCAAATCCCCTAAAAACATATGCAGTTGTGAATAATAAAAAAATTATATTAAGTAATTACAGCATTCTTTTTTCTTGACAAGAGAAAAAAAACCCCTATTAGATCAGAATCAAATACATTGAAACCAAGCGTAGCATTTCTGAATGGTGTCATTTTGAGTTTTCTGATTGTTCTGAATATAGCGGATGAGGCATTTGTTTTCTACTTTATCTGGTTGTCTTTTTCCCCAAAAATCTATATTTCTATATTAAATACTACAGCATTAGTGGCCAGACACACCCTTGTTATTAATTTAGACTGGAAGGAATTAAATGATAATGAAGCATTGTGACTGAACAGCATTTAAGCACCCCAGAGAAGAAAAAACTATCGCCTGCTAGTCTGCCTAAAACACTACTGAGTTTATTCTTGTTTTTCATTTGTTGCTACAAAGATGAGATAAATCTCTTTTTTTAGAGATTAAAGTGTTGAATACACACAGGTTGAGTGAAGGTAGTTCCCCTGAAATAAACCATCAGGAATAAGAACAATTCTTTTCTTTCTTATTTAAAATAGCCCAGAAGTGATTTATATATATGTCTTGGACAGATGTAATTGACTGAATCATAGTAATAAAAAGGGAAGTTATCATTACATTTCAAAGTAGTAAATAAAAGAAATTATGAGTACAATTCTCAAAGCAGAGAGGAAAGAGCTTTAAGGAATTATTAGGATGTCCTCCTCTTTCAGCAATGGAAATACTAATAGGTACAGAACTCTGGAAGCCTTCAGTCAGAAAAGGTCAAACCCTTTAACAGCACCAAACTTACTGTCATCAGGAAAGTGCAGTTATAAAGAATACTTTGTCACAAGAAATTGACATGGAATATGGAAAGAAAGCATATCTTTTAGGAAATAAAAAAGAGAACATTTTGAAATTCAAATCAGAATTCATGTCTTTAAATTAACTGCATTTGGTTCACAAGAACATCCTAAATATGAATGTTGAGATGGAGAGCCATGCCTTCATTAAAAAAGCAGATAAAGTCAAAAATGCTATGTGTGTGCATACTGTTTGCTGCAAAAAATATTTCTAAAATTGCTGAGATTATAAATACAAAGCCTATCATGTTCTGCAGAATCTTTAAAGTTCACTGAAAAATCAAAGTATAAATTTCATTAGGCAGATTTATTGAGATTTGTTGTATGCTTGTACTCTACTAATGCTCATGTACCTCACAAGTGCAAAAGAGAGACTATAGAAGCACAGAGAATTTTCTTAAAGGGTAGGAGGAAGAGGCAACAATTACACAAATGTAGTTTGAGCCCATTTCAAGAAAATATGAAAAGCATTCTAAAACTTTTAAAGAAGCACTTAATGTAATGAATGACTTCAATATAACAGCCTCCACCACCTCCTCCCCCTCCTCCCAAGCGGACTGAAAGCAGCTGGGGCTGAGGAAACGAAGCCACCTCGGCTCGCGTTGCTTTCTGAGCCTAGAGCCAGGGCGCTTTCATTGCACGGCGGAGCTTCTTGTCTCAGGAAACACCGGGAGTTGTTGCTGCCCCCTGAGGGGTGGGCGATTCTGGGCTGCGCGATTGGGGGACTTTGTGGCTTTGGGTGGGTGGGTGGGTGGGAGCGAGGACGGACGGAGTCCGTGAAGCGGGGCTTGCCTGCCCTTGCTGGCTGCATCTGCTTCCTTAGGGGCGGGGAAGGGGGCTCATCTGGGCCAAGGGTGAGTCTTCCCCTCAGTTTCCCCTGAAGGATCTTCCGTCGCTTTTGCCTTCTCCCTATGTCTTCCCTCTGTTAAAATCCCCCCTCCACACACACTTATTTTCAGGTGGATAGATTTCGTGTCTGAGCATTCTCACATGACGGTGGGTCTTCCCCCCCCCTAAAAACAGTTAAATAAAGAAAAAACAATATATCCTCATGCAAGAACTTTTCTGCTTCCAATTACCCCCATGCTTACAAGTTGCAAAGGAAACACGGAAGCAGGGAAGCGGCTGCCCAGCTCCGGAGCTCCACACCATTTTTTTTTTTTCAGAGGGAATCTCACTTGAGTATAAGCCGAGGGGTTTTTTTTCAGCACAAAAAATGTGCTGAAAAACTCGGCTTATACTCGAGTCAATAAGTTTTCCCAGTTTTTTGTGGTAAAATTAGGTGCCTCGGCTTATATTCGGGTCGACTTATACTCGAGTATATACGGTATGCCTTTTTACATTATTTTGTAATTAAAAACAATGGACAAAGTGTTTAGGATAGTTATATACATTTTATAATCAAAGCTAGAATATAAATATAAACACAATAACTGAATTTTTAATAACAGAATATTGAATTTTAATTGTATCGATGCATACCTTACTGGGTTTCTTTATCTTCAACTTTCCTGCTTTTATGACTTTAGTAGAACACTGCAGTTCTAAAATAAAGGAAAAGTAGTTAAATCAATGAAGTTTGATTTAAACTGATTCAGTTGAATAGTACTATATATTTAGCAAGTATGTATAGCATCAACTTAGCTGTACATAATTTATTTCTGAAATAGATTACCAATGTATTTCAAGATTAATGTTTCTTAGAAAATATGAAATACAGTATTTAAACATACTTAACAATAGTTTTAAAAATACATACACAACCAAGATTTGGTCTGCATTGCAAAAAAGTAATTATCATCTCACAGTGTTTATGCCATTGAATTATGAAAGTATTTCAAAAGGGAACAAACAAATACAGTATATCACAAAGTACAGCTATCCAGCAATCTTAATTAATAAAAGCACTAAAATAAAGCTATTGGGAACAACAGATAAAAATAATGGATAATCTCCAGAGAAATGCATAGTAGAATGTAATTATCATTTGTTTCTTTGTCTCATTTATTGTTTATAGCAATCACATTCCATTCAAAAGAGATGGGGGGGGAGAGGGGGGAGGGAGAGAAAGTGCCTTTGTATTGACGTATTTGTAAATGATCACTAACTGAGGTAGTTGCTAAAGAAGGAGTGTTCCTTAAAGCTGTGTTCTAAAGATGAAAGTTTCTGTGTGTTGTGATATAAACAAAATGGGGGGGGGGAGTGGGGGCTAAAAACCCATAGAAGCGCTTGTTGCTCCCACTGCCATTCAATGCCACTACAACTCCCAGTATCAGGGCTCTCACAAACAGTTTCAGATGTCTTGGAAGCATTTGAAAGAAAAGAGAGTGAGAAAATAAAAAACAACTCTCATTTTTATTTTTTCTTAAAATCTCTGTTTCATATGTTAATAAATAATATTGAAAATACAATTGCAAGTATAGTTATGTTTTTTCCCCCAAATGATAGTATTAGGAAGCATTCACAATTGTTTTTGTTATTGATCAAAAATTTTATGAAGCAAAATAAAAGTTTTCCTATCTAAATTACTTTCAATAAATTATCCTGAGTAAGTTAATCGTGATAAAAGAAACCAAACCAGTAAAGATAAAAACCTCAAAAAGAACCTTTACAAAGAGTTTGAGAAAGCTGTTAGAAGAGACATTCCAACTTTCAGTCGGACACTGATTGACAGTTAGTAAATAATTCAAAGGAGATATAACAAAATTGGAAAGCACATGCTGAAATAATGCATAGTAAGGATGCCAACATTCAGAAACCTTAAAAGATGTTCCTTAATTACAAGAACCTCTAATACTAGAAGATAAAGTTAGATCAGCATTCAGGTCATTACCAAACAGGAAGCCACAGGAACTGACAGAATATCCAATGAATTATGGCAAACACTAAAAGAAGAATTATTAAAGTTCTAAATAAGCTATACAATATCAGCAAATCTGTAGAATGACAAAGTGATCAATAGATTGGAAGTTATCAATCAACATTCCAATCCCCCCCACACCAATAAAAGGAAACTTAATAAAGTGTGCAAACTAACTTACCATATCCTTAACACTATATGCTAGTAAATACTGGTAGCAAGTAATGTTAAGGATCATCCAACGCTGATTAGAGACCTGCATGGAAAAAAGATACTAAATGTTCAAACTTTAGAAAAGGCAGAACATAAGACATTATTGCAGAAAGGAATATGGACAGAAAATGATGAAACAGAGGGGCTCTACGTTGTCGAAGGAGTGCAACAAGGCTGTATACTCCGTTTATTTATTCAAGCTATGTACCAAATGCTATTAAGGGAAGCTGGATTGGAAGAAGTGTGATTTTAAAATTGAAGAAAGAAACTTTAGTGACATGAATTATACTGATGAAACTACTCTGACAGCTGAAAATGCAAAAGATGGGCAAGCTCTAAGTAATAAAAGACAAAGAACACAGTGAAAAAAGCAGCTAAAATAAAATATAAAGCAACCATAGTAATGATATCAGGCATAAGCAAGTCTTAGAAATGACAATGAAGGTAACAAAATTGTGGATAACGTATGTCTTTTATGGGGCACTTGGGAACGAAGCAATCTGCTCTATCCAAAGCAAATGATCATTTGAGTAGCACCAGACATAACAAACACAACAGGGGAAGATGCAGACCTGTAAGGATGTAGTAAAATATTTTATACTAATTTGAATGCCTTCAAGGCATAGGTCATATTAAATACATGAGGGCACACTAAAAGAAGAGGTGGTTGAAGACTTGTTAGGATCTTTGATGATTTTCTCTGAGGATTTCTAGAAAAGTAGAAAGATACTAGAAAACTGAAGAATGATAAATATAGTCCACCTCTGAAAGAGAAAGGGGAAAAAGGAGGATCCCAATAATTATAACAAGCCTAACATCAATTCCTGGAAATATGTCCGAACAGGTAATAGAACAAGCCACTTATAAGCATCTCCAAGACAATATTGCTACCAAAAACATGGCACTGTCAAAAATAACGTGGGACAAAACTCTTATGACAGGCTGTGGTCCATGAATAAGAAGAATTCTATGGATATACATTACCTTGATTTCATGAAGTTTTGGACAAGTATATGACCTTGTCACCTAACCTATTAAGTAATTTGAGCAACACTTCAGAAATATACCATGTTTCACACAAAATAAGGCTGGGCCTTATTTTTATTTTAGCCCCCAAAAAATGGCTAGGCCGTCTTTTCGGGGGTGACTTAATTTCCTCCCCCACCTAGAGTAACCCATACGCACTCCCCTCGCCACGAGGCTGCTTCTATCGGCCGACGAAAGCTCCCGGAAGGCAGAGTCCCCAGCCGCTTCGGGGCGAGGCATGGCTGCCTGTGTCCCCTCGCCCTTAGACAGTCTCTTTTGGGCGATGAAAGCTCCCCAAGTGCAGTCACCAGCCACTTCGATCACCCGGTAGAAGCGGCCTCGGGGCAAGCGCACACTCCCCTCACTGTGAGGCCGCTTCTATCAGCCGATGAAAGCTCCCCAAAGGCAGAGTCCCCAGCCGCTTTGGGGCGTGGCATGGCTGCCCGTGTCCCCTCAACTTTAGGCAGTCTCGGGCAATGGACGCTCCCCAAGTGCAGTCACCAGCCACTTCGATCGGCTGGTAGAAGCGGCCTCAGGGCAAGCGCATACCCACACTCCCCTTGCCGCAAGGCTGCTTCTATCGGCCGATGAAAGCTCCCCAAAGGCAGAGTCCCCAGCCATTTCAGGGCGTGGCATGGCTGCCCATGTCCCCTCGCCTTTAGGCAGTCTCTTTCAGGCGATGGAAGCTCCCCAAGTTCAGTCACCAGCCACTTCGATCGGCCGGTAGAAGCGGCCTCGGGGCGAGCGCACACACACACTCCCCTCGCTGCGAGGCCGCTTCTATCGGCCAACGAAAGCTCCCTTGAAGGCAGAGTCCCCAGCCGCTTCGGGGCGTGGCATGGCTTCCTGTGTCCCCTCACCTTTAGGCAGTCTCTTTTGGGCGATGGAAGCTCCCCAAGTTCAGTCACCAGCCACTTCGATCGGCCGGTAGAAGCGGCTTCGCAGTGAGGGGAGTGTGTGTGTGCGCTCGCCCCAAGGCCACTTCTACCGGCCAATCAAAGTAGCTTGGTGCACTAAGTGCACTACTGTAAGTTGAGGATTACCTGTATAGTACCTATTGGGCTGAGACAATGGCTACTTCAAAATCACTCAGCAAGTTTCCATGACTCAGGGTGACCAGACCCTAGACTTCCCTATTACTCCAAAACCTTAAGCATACTTTATTATAACTACTGGATTCTGCCATCATCTAAAATCTAGTTATTTGCAGTTTAAAATATTTTTAATCTTCATTCAGCAGAACATCAATATTTTTCTAAAAAATGTTTGGCAAGCTGAATCACTGTGTTGCTATGACTATATTCAGTAAATATGATTAAAGTTTGAATCAAAGTTCAAATTCTCAATGGAAAGCATTCCCTTTCCGCCGGTGACTACACCACCAAATAGTCATAGGATGGAATTAGTGTAACTAATAAATAACATTAAAAAAAAATCGCAGGTTTTTCCACATTAAAAGTATGTGGCATTTGGTTCAAAAAACAATCAAACCAGACAACTACTTCACTCCCATCTCCATGATTTCTCTCCAAAGACCTCCAAATGTCAACTATAAATTCTAGCGGTTTTGTTTCCAGTTAGACCAGGGGTCTTCAAACCTGGCCACTTTAAGACATGTAAACTTCAACTCCCAGAATTCCCCAGGCAGCATGACTGGCTGGGGAATTCTGGGAGTTGAAGTCCATAAGTCTTAAAGTGGTTTAGTTTGGAGATCTTCGAGTTAGACCTTCATATCTTCTTCGGTCTCGCCTAACTCCCAAAACCCGCCACATCCCGTCACGTTCAACTTTCCTAATCTAACCGCGTGCCTAAACTTCGAACGGCTTCGAACATTTCTTAAGGTCGGCTTGGCAAATAGCCCACGCCTTTTCTCCACAGCTCGTGTTACTTGGGGTCAACACGAAAGAAGGGAAGGGAGGGCTTTAAAGAAACCCGAGCGCGAAACGCCGTGATTCCCACACATACCCCAAGCAAAAAAAAAAAAAAAAAAGTAGCGCTGTTACTCAATTTGACAACTTCTCCCACCTAACGTCACCCCACCCCCTCCACCTGCACAGCGGCCTTTCTCACCCGGGTCCTGCGAAGTGAACTCGCCGCCAGAAGAAGCGTTGGAAGGAGATAAACTACTACCGGAGTTGGGGGGAGGCTTCCAACGCGTCCAAGGATTCTCTTTAGGCGGCGGTGCCTCGACCACCTGACACTGCTGCGGCCTCCCCCGTGGCCACTTGTCGTTGTCCTCGTCGTCCTCTTGCTGTCGTTGCAACTGCAAACCCTCGGCGGAGCCACTTTCCCGGGAAGCTTCAGTTACTTGGCCGGAAGGAAGCAGGAACGGTTCCCGATGGTTCTCTTCCAGGAACCAGGCCCCACCACCGTTCCTCTTCTCCTCACCCCGAGATGGTGGCGGCGGGACAGCCGCTGACATGCCGAGAAGGAGCCGCCGCCGCAACGCCCGGCACACGCCTCTCCCTCCGTTCCCTGCTGGGCAGCAGTAGGGAGAGAAGCGGGGCGTCGAAAAATCGGAGCGAAACTGAGAGAAGCAGCTCCGTGCTGCGAGCCTGGGCCGCCCCACGGGGGCTGAGGCTGGAGGGGAAGCGCCCCCCCGCCCGAACAGCGGCCTCCGGCGGCGGCGTTGTTCATACACCTCAAGGGGTGGTTCAACCGCCACCGCCCTACGGCGGGGAGGAAGGGAGAGAGAGACGGTGCGTGGCGCGCGGGGAAAAAAACAACAACTGGGGTTCCCGAAGAGGAGTTGGGCGGGGGGGGGGGGAAGAGGGGGCGGTTTTGGGGGGCGTGGCGAACACCGTCACGGCTGTCGCGTGCGTGCTATCTCGCGCCGGGGGAGGGGCGGGGTGGGTGGGAAAGGGGCGGGGATAAGTGCACAAGGGGGGAATAAAAGGAAAAGGAGAAGGCGAAGAACTGGCGAGCAAGGCGATCGCTAGGAGGAGGTGGAGTCTTCAAACTCTTCGATCCGTTGTGACATCACAACGGCCAGCAGCTCAGAGTGGAGCGGATTCTTATTTTTCTTAGGCGGGGGGTGTTCTCTCAGGTGGTGGTGAATTTTAATCGAAAGGGATGAAACCTAATTTTTCGGCCAAGAACCTCTGAATGGGAGATCAGGAGGAAACGAATTTGTCCTGAAAAACAGCCTTGGAAAAAATGAATCTAGGACTTGTGAATACCTCTCTCCGGCGAGGTGACCACTTTTTCACTACGATTTGTGAATCAGTGAGGTATCTGTTCATGCGATTTTGCCATGCTTGACTGCTTTCGAATCAAAAAAGCACGGGGTGCTTTGTCAAATAATCCTTATTTGAAATAAAGAGACGAGAAAATGAAATGTGGGATTTCTGGAAACTACACTGTTTTCAAGGCATATACTTCTTTTTAAGGATCTGCGCTGGAATGCTTGCCTGACTGGATTGTTGAATGCTAGATTTTCTTTTTCCCTCTTTTCAAACATTTCCCATCTCTGCAGGATTATGGTGGTCCTGTCGGAAGATAATCTTTCAGTACCTTAGGGCGCAATTCATCAGGTCTTGGTAATTTAAACTCGAAGTAAAAAAAGGGAAAGTGTTTCGTGGACATGTTTTTATCACTTTCAAGTTCAGTCCTGCCCTTTTGTTATGCTCCTTGCTTTTTTTGAGGAACAGGATTTGTTTTTGAGAAGATGAGTTGAGCAGTTCCACCTTTCTAATTATTTTTTCTGTAGTGTTAAAGCAGACCTTTTGGTATTCGGATAGCTTACTAATATTAAGCTTAGATTGAGCTTTTGTTTCCTTGATATGAGTTCTAAGTTCTAGCTATTTGTATCATTCTTTTCTAATCTAATCCTTTTTCCATTTCTTGTATGCTGATCCAATTATGATGAACTGAAGCAGGAAATAAAAATAGTTTCAGCTTCCTTGTCACCTCTTCCTCTATAGGATTTTAACCAGTTTTGCAAATTTACTTCAACACAATTTAGATGCATTCCTATATGATTAGAAACTTAAAAACCTTTTAATAAATACAGGAATCTACAAAATAAGTCAGAGATGTTACTTATAATTGTTTGAAAATACATCCATCCTGTATTTATACGAAGGATATAGTATAGTCCAGAAAAGGGACTATAATATAGCAATCAAACATTTTAATATAAAATGATGCCATCTCAGTATTTGCTGAAACCAATAAATTCATAACTTACTTTGATAATCTAATTCAGATACTGTAATTATACAAAATTGTTAGATGATAAATATATGAAGACATTTTTGTAGTATGCCAAACATTTTGTAAGGTCTTCACTGGAAAATATACAATTCAAGTGTACATTGTGTCTGTGTGTATATTGACATTCTTAAATCCATATACTACTAAAAAAACAACCCTTGTCATGACCTTTAACTGGGCTGAATGCTGCATCATAGGCAATTTTTAAACCAATATTTTGAATGGGTTAATTTATAAAATGTGTCTGAAATTTGGGACTAATTACTTTTGAGAGAATGAAGTTTTGTTGCTGCTTCAGTACTACTGGCTGCTTCTGGGGTCATGTGATCTTCATTTTCAACCTGTGACAGTTTCCCAACTAATCTCACAATCCATTGCTACCTTATCCACCCAGCTGTACCCACTTGTCTGCCGTTACTCCCTGTGCATTCCCTTAACCTCTGCTGCCCCATATGCCTTCCCTGACCAACACAGCACCTCTTGGGCCTGCCCACCCACCCTTCCTGACCCATCCTACCCACCCACATCTTGACTTCCAAGGCACCTCTTGTACACTCCCAAGCACCCCTAGGTACCCTTCCCATGCCAACACCACCCAATGCCATCCAAAACCTGATTCTTCTCACATGTTCATAACCCTCCCCGTGCATTCTTGACCCATGCAACCCCACAGGTCCTACTTGACCCACACGGTAACATTTTATACACCCCTGGGACAGCCACACAGACTTCTTCAGCCCGGCTACTGCCCTGATCCGCACAACACTCCAGGGCACCCTTCGCTACCTACATTGCCCATTCATTCACCACTCTGACCTGCAAATCTCTGGCACACTCACAAAGTCTTCTCAATCAATATGGCACCTCTCTGAACTGCACCTCTGTGGGCTACCTTGCTTCCTCCCTCACTTGACAGCAACTATTAACCTGCTTGCTGGCCTTTGAGTTACAACTTCCTTCTGACTTTGCATTGACTTTCTTTGTAAGTTTCCCAGAAACATAAATGAGGAAGCTGGCAGGAAATCTAGGTAGAAGACAGGTAAATAAGGAAGTCTGTGACAGAATAGCAGGAATCAGGAAAGGGAGCAAAAAGAAAAAGTTGGAAAGAAGGAAAAGGGAAGGAGGGAGGAAGGTTGGATGGATTTCTGATGCTCCCTGCTAGATTCCCACAAGAAAACTCAATGGGAAAGCCAACAGGAAGTCACTCCAAATCCCACTGCTTTTTTGTCCAAATGTGTTTATTGGTTTAACTAAGGAAATATCTCTGAAACAATGACTGAATAGGGTATGGGTTGACTAGTATGGCATAAAGGCACTCTTCTGCTTCTATCAAAACATTTGTTAGTGTTACAGAAATAATGTTTATGCAGAGTTTTGGTGGCTTACTCTCTGTGGCAGATGGCATGTGCTCTGGATGAGTGAAAATAATACTTTTAAAAGAGGCAATAACCAGGAAAATTGGCAAGATTTCTACAAATAATCAAGTTTAAGTTTTTCAAACACCTCTCTCCCAATGCTTTCTAAAAGCAATAGTAGTATATAGTTTTACTTGAAGCAAACTTTATTTGAAGCAGAAAACTTTATTTTTACCTTAGCCCCTTTTTAATTTAATGTCTTCAAGTCAGTGTTGATACTTGGTGACTGCCTGGAGTCCCTGATGTTATGCTCTTTACAATCTAATAACTCTCAGCAACTTCCATTTTATATAATAAAACACATAAAACCAACAGTATGTTTGTAGCATCAGAGATGTGCATCTTCTAGCTTTGACTTCTCTCTTCTCTTGGAAATATGGGACCACAGGTCATTTATGATTAATGCAAGGAATTTGACTGACTCCAGTTGGAACATGAAGTATTATGTATAGGTGAACACATCTTAAATTCTACCCAATACAGCAGGGGTCCCCAACCACCAGTCCGCGGACCGGTCCCGGTCCGTGGAACATTTCCTACCTGGCTGCTGGTTTGCTGGGCGCTGCCATCTTGTTTGACGAGAAAGTGCTTCCGAGTGAGCTTTTCCGGTTGGAAAGCGGTGTTTGGGTCCTGAAGGAATCCTCACGCCTTAGTTTCATCAAGGGGGGGGGGCTTCGAACGAAACTAAGGTGCAAGGATTCTTTCAGCACCCAAGGCAAGGCGAGCCGAGCAACCGTCCCGAAGCCGTCCCGAAGCGAAGCCCATCGACAAAGGTACAAAGGAGGAGTTGAAGGTGGCGGGGAGAAGCGGGGGACAGCTGGCTGGCCGGTCGCTCGGCTCGCCTTGCCTTGTTATGCATACTGATGCCGGTACCGGGCCGCAGATCATTTTGTGATGCCGGTACCGGGCCGTGGCACAAAAAAGGTTGGGGGCCACTGCAATACAGGATCCACAAAATTGAACTTATGTTTCTGGTGTTGACAGCCAACGAGCATGCATGTTGCATTCTGAAAATGCAACTTTTAAAAAAGGCAATAACCAGAATAATTGGCAAGATTTCCACAAATAATCAAGTTTAAGTTTCTCAATCCCCTCTCTCCCAATGCTTTCTAAAAGCAACAGTAGTATATAGTTTTTTATAGTGTTAGTAATACATAGAATTTTCTAGTCATCTTTTAAGGCCAGATTTATATAAAGCACATAGCAGTCTAAGTGTTAATGAAAGTGAGGTACAATATCTAGGTCCTTTTGCATAAGGTAAGGTTGCAATGGGTAGCAATATACTTAACTTTAAATTCCAATTATAAAAAGTTCTAAAGTTTTACAGAAGCAATGTTATGCAATGAATTTTGAATTTTTGTAAGAAAACTACTGCAAAAGTTTATAGAACAATAGAAACAAGAAACTAACAATCTTTTTTATTAGTATGCAACATGTAGTTTTTAAAAATATATTCAAGGAAGTATTTATTAAAATATTCATACATGCAACATTTACAGAAACTCCAATTTTATTCCAATTCTCGTGGTTCAAGAAGATGTATATCTTTTCTTTGTCTTTTTTAAGGCACAGATTATTGCTATCATTTATGTTATATGAATATAGTAATAAAATGAAAAATAGACTACAGGAAAATTAGTTAAGTACACTAAATTTACTCATCAAACTAAAGTAGAAAAAAATTAACTCTTGCACATGACCATAATTCAAACAACAATATAGAATATTTTAAGAGATTGGGACGGGGACTTTCAATATATTAAACCTAATTTATATATATTTTTCCTTTAGGAGCTAGTATTATATTGCTGTAACACAATACTATTTCTTTGGCTCTTTATATATAGTGAAAAAGAAGTGTGCAAGTTGAAATTTAAAGAGTTGGCAATATTTGAATTGGTCTCTCTTCTATGTGTGTATAAACTTTCCAAATATTTATTTTTAATCAAAGCATATTTTGCAGATGCAAGACACCAATATTGACAGATTTTGCTAAAATCACTTTAGCACCACAAATCTAACTTTAAAAAGTTACATTTGATTACAGTCTTATTAGGTTTATTCTATTCAAGAAGTTAATATCAAGATCCACACAAGAAAGTGAAAGTACATGAAACAATTTAACAGAATAG